TTTGTACCATTAATCCAGATTTTACAAGTTACACTTAGACCAATTCATTGGGAATTATGTATCCATGTTTATATTTTTCAGTCACTGCTTTCATTAAAAGATGTAGTAAAGAGTTGAAAATTTAATGTAGAAAAAGGGGGAAAAGACAATTATGTGTATTTGCTCATAGGAAGGTGCAGTGCGTATATTATCACTGCTTTTTCTCGTTGAAACCAATTCCCGCTTGTGGCTGTCTTCACCACAGGTAAGAATTTAGTGATTTGCAGGCCCCAGGAGAGCAGAAATGTAAATTCCTATTGAAAGCCATCAATAGTTAAAATTTGGAGCCCCATTGATATAGTTGAAGTCAGAATGCACTTAAGTAAATGAAAGGCCTTGATGACTGGCTGGTGTTTCCCCTTCCTAAGTCAGGCCTGCCAATTAGGCAAGTAATGGAGGCCTGGACCCCCAAGATGGGATTGAGAATGACTGCAAAGGGCAGCTGGGGAAGCCCACTGTGGATTTTGGTCATGTGTATTTGACTGCGTCAGCTCATTCTTTTGTGAAATTGAATTTAATGTGTTGAAAAATACCTTCTTGATGAATTAATGAACTAAAAGAGGTATTGATATTCCAGTAGTGGCAAAAGCAAAGCCTTCCATCATCATCACCACCACCACCCTTCCCTGCCTTTATCCCCATATTTTATAATAGAATGCTCAGCAAGGGCAAAGTTTAAAGGTATCTTTTCTGGTTTTCTCACTCCTCTGTATTGATGGAATAGATAATAGAAGGATGAGGGTGGTGGATAAAGACCTCAGCTCCATCAGTGAAATAGATAATGCTTTACTGATTTCACCCCTTTGATGTTTGACTTTGGATTGTTTTGATGTTCTCTGGCATCAAGTCATTCATGTACTTGTATAGGTGCTTGCAATAGAGAAAAAGCAGGGAATGGGAATGGGAAAGTTGAAAGTTGTGTTGACTTGAGTCATACTTTGAACTCTTTGGGGAGGAGGGATTCCACAGGTATATATTTCTTGCACCTTTCCCCCAGAGAACTAGAATTTGATTTGATTCATTCATGTATTTATAAAAGTATCAGCTGAGAATTTAATGAGAAACTTGTTGTCTAGGCCCCTGGATCCAGTGATGCCTAAGGATAAGATTCTTGTCTGCATAAATATCCACACACGATTTATTTAGAAATGTTCAAATAATTTTTGGAAATTGAAGGAGGGGCCCTCAAAATGTTAAAAATAGAATTACCATATGATCCAGCAATTGCACTTCTAAGTGTATACTCAGAATAATTGCAGACAGGGACATGAACAGATACTTATATATCCATGTACATGGCAGCATTATTCACAGTAGCTGAAAAGTATAAAAAACCCATACATCCATCAAATGAATGGGTAAGTACAGTGTGGTATGTCCATACAATGGCATATTATTCAGCCTTAAAAAGTAATGAAGTGTTGATACTTACTACAATGTGGGTGAACCTTGGGCACATTATTCTGAGTGAAAGAGGCCAGACATAAAGGGCAAATGTGTGATTCCACTTATGAGTTACCTAGAGAAGTTGCATTTAAAGACAGAAAGAACAGGGTTACCAGGAGGGAGCATGGGGAGTTATTGTTTAATGAATACAAAGTTTTTGTTTGGGATGATGAAAAAGTCCTGACAATGGATAGTGCTGATAGTTACATAATGTAAATATATTTAATGACCCTGAACTCTATATTTAAAATTGATTACAAAAGTAAATATTATGGTATGTTTATTTTACCACAATGAAAAAATGAAGGACTGTCTGAGAAGAAGGTATGTTAGGAGAATATAGTCCAAAATAGATAAAAATTAACCCCGCAGAGCTTTTGGCATAGCTTCTTGAAGGAGATCACTATTGTATCCCTTGGAGTGTTAGCGGAGTAGGGCACAGTAACAACGTGTGGGCTTAGGCATTGCTATTTTTTGACAATGGACTAGGTTTAAGAATCATGTTCTATTTTTCCTACCAGTTAAGATAAGCAGTGCCCAAGCACTAGAGTGGGCAGTGCCATAAGAAACCTGTGTCACATTCATGTTGTAAAATGCATCGCCTAGTTTGAATCTTGGCTCCTCCACTTACTAGCTGCAATGTCTGACAAGATACTTATCTGAGCCACCATTTATTTTATCTGTAAAATAGGGTTTGTAGGAGTATCTGCCTTATAGGACTTTGGGGACATTACGTGGTTCATGGATAATGTTTTTAGAATATTGAGCACATAGTAAACCCTGAATAAATGATATTTTATTGATAACTACATATGGTCTCAGCCATAATCAGATTTATCAGAAAATTCAGTGCAAACTGTTCATCTACTTTCTGCCTCTGTGTTTACTGGAGAGGCACCATCTTAGGGGCAAATGTTAGTTTGATTGTAAGGAAATGAGGTTTCATATCTTCCCACAGGAAAGAAACTGAGTCCTTAAAGGAATTGAGGTCTACTTTATTTTAATCAGCCAATGGGTGTGCATACATTATTCCTTTCTCATTTCTAGTTTCATATTTCACCAGAATGTTCAGAAACAGGGTGTAGTGAATAATTTTCTGACTAACCGATGCCTACAAGACACCAAGTACTTTCATTTCCAGTTGTATTTGTGAAAAGTCTTTCTGAAATCCAGTAATGTCCTTTGTTTCCTTAGGAAGTATAGTGGATAATAAAATTTAATCCTTCCTTGACAATAAAAGATTTCAGAGGCATTTCAGAAAGTCTGTTCATGTTCACCAGAAATATAAATGTATGAGTAGAAGATTGGGCTGCCTGTGTGCTGAGCCCATGGCAGCGCTGAGAAAGATATTTAATTATGCCCTTAAAAAAAAAAAAAAAAACCTGATCCTTACAACTTTCCCTTAAAATTAGAGTATGGGCAAGAAATTATGATTGATAGTTTGGGTTCTTTGAATTTTAGCTTTTTTAAAAAGGGATATGTTACAGGAAGAGCTCTCTCATCATAAGCCTTCAAGTAGTCACACACAGGTGTCACCTTGAAAAGAATAACTGCTTTATTATCAGCATCAAGGATGAGAGCTAGGAAAACACTTTACTACTTGAGTAAACGAAAGACAGAGTCTAGCTTTGTTCCTGATTAGAATCTTTTTTTATTCCACTGTGCAACGAGTTCTATCCAATTTCAGTCAGTATAAATGTTTTTCTTAGGGATGTGGGGGAGTGGGCTGGGCCCTTGGGACCTACGCCTGTGTATCATGTTGGGTGGAGACTTAGGGTTGAGCTGCTTGATTTCCAGCCCTGTTCCCTTGCTTCGCTGTATGACCTTGGAGATATCAGCGACTCTCTCTGAACCTCAGCTCTCTCTACCTGAAAAAATGCAGGGGTGCCAATGGATGCTTTCCGAAGTGTCTTGTGTTTCAGCATTTAGACTAAGAGTTCCTTCAAGGTATCAATCGTGCTGTCTTTGTTTACTCTTCCATGATAATCAGGAGGCCTCAGGAACTGATTGTCAATGAATCTGGTTGCAGAGTCCCAGTTGTAGGAGGAGCTGACAGAAGAATCCAGATTCATTTCATGCTTGTTTTCCTTCTCTTCTTCAGTTTTCCCTCCTCTCTGTCTTAACCTCTCTTTATCCTGTCTTCCTCCTTCCTGCTCCAGGCTCCTCCCCAGCCCAGCTAGATTATTGATTGGAAATCACCAAATAGTTTCTGTAACCATGTCATCAACGGCTGCCAAGGCGCTTGTCATTATTCCAGCCACACAGAGCAAATGACTGGAGGAAAATGGCACTTTGCAGCTCAGGTACAAAGCATTCAAAACTGTGGCTTAGTTGGGGTTTTTCATTTAAACCCCTTCTGAAAGTCTTTATGCAAAAGCAGCCTTTTCCAGCGGGTGAGCTATTCCACAGATCCCCCAGTTTAGATTCCCTTAATTTTCTCTATTTCTTTAGCTTGCCCTTGCTGCCTTCCTGCCTGATGCATGTTAGAGAGGAAGTACACAAAGGAATTGTGCAAAGTTTGGAAGCAACTGGCAGGTGGGTTTGCATTTTTCCAGGTTAATTCACTTGATGAAAAGCTGCTGTGGGTGATGTGTCATATATCAAAGGCAGGGCATCAGTAATCTTTGCTCAAGGGCACGGCTAACAGACAGATAGACGGGAGAATGAGATGGAAAAAAGCAACTCATCCTTTTCTGCTAACACCACGAAGGAGATAAAGGAAGATTTATGAGTCATTTCGGACCACATACCAGCAAGCAGCATACCGTATTTTTCACATGTTCCCAAAATTGGTGGTGGAAGGCAGTGCGGTTGTCAGAGTGTCCCTCCGATCCTTTAGGAAAACAATGGGATCCTTGAAGGCTCTGACTGTGGAGTCAGCTCTTTGCCCTCCCTGCAGAGAGCTGTGTTTGTGCATGGGTAGGTGTGTGTGTGTGTTTAAGCATCTCTGCCTGTAAGCACATGAGCTCATGATCTGTAGTTTAATAACACGACCTCTGTAGAATAAAAAAATTAAGATTACCTGAAGCAAACATGACTATTGTGGCTCAGACACTTTGATGGTGACTCGATAAAGACTTCTTTCAGCTGTCACTCCGCCACTTAATTTTATGTTTTTAGTAGCCAGTCTTACGTGTTTACTGCATTTGGGTTTAAGGACAGGGAAGAGGAGTGGTTAGTTGTTTTTCCTTTTCTTTCCTACCTCTGAGATGAGTCAACCTCTGCTGGATACAAAGGGAGCTCCGCAGCTCAGGTTAATTCGAGTGGCTGTTTTGTGTGGAGTTAACCGAGGACACCCATTGCTGGGAGTGCTCAGAGCTGCTTGATTTGGGCAGCCCAGCAGCTGACTCTGGAAGTGTTCAGTGGAACAATTGATGGAAGTGCGAAGAGGTTTCTTAATATTTCTCTCCTCAGCCTTGAAAACGGCACCTGGATTGCAGCTGGATCATGCCTGGGTTTGTGATTATTTACTTCACATGGCAATTTAAAAAAAGTATTGTAAATCCCCCCAAAAATGGTTTTGAGTTTTTTCTAAGGCCTCTGCAGTATGCTTCCATTTTTCTTTTCCTTTCTCCCCCTTTTTTTTGAGAGGCACACAATTAACATTCTGTGCAGAAGGGCATGATTGATTCTGCACAGTGGTGGCTATATGAGCAAACCTCATTTAGACAGCTGAGTGAAATATACAGGGCAGAGGAATTTATGGGACTCAGAGACACTCACGTGCAGAATGAAAAGGAGCCGTCTTCTTCTCTCCTCTTCTCCCTCTGCCTGCCCATTCTTCACTTGCTCAGAAATGCTCCCCCTCCAGCCACTGGGGTGCCCACTCTGTGTGGTGATACTGCTGATTCTGACATCACCCAGCAGAGAAGATTGAATGCCACTTCATCATGTAGCCCTCCTGTGGGAAGCGTGGAGTGTGTAATCGGATAGACAGGAGGAGTTCTCAGAATCTGTTATGTGAGGTTGACAAGGTGAGGAGGGAGTGGAGCATGGTGGCCCCAGTACTTGACCTGGCCTGACAGATGTTCCCCCCTTCAAGTATGGGGTTTGTCTGAGTGCCTTGGGCTTCTGCACCAATATTTAGCAGGATAGATAGTTTGGAGGGCTGAGTGTCTACCTCAGAGGATATGGGCCAGTTTCTTGGAAACATTACCAACTTTTACTGAGAGAGTTTTGTGCAGGACTAGGTCTTGTCATGTTCACCAGGATATCTGACACATAGTAGGTCCTTTATAGACATTTGCTGCATTAAATTGACTTAACTGTTAAGTACAGCTTAAGTAAGTAAATTGACTTATCCGTTAGTACAGCTTCATTAGCATTGGTTGAGAGGCGTGGAAGAATGAACTAGCAGGATGACGTTTGGTGAACAGAACTTGTCAATTTCCTTGTGGTTGGTGCAAAGAATGACTCCAGGCTTAGGTGGAAAATGGGAGAAGAGCTTTTCTGCTTCATCCTTCCAAGCCCCTCCCTGGGATTCAGATGACTTTCTCCTGCCTGTGCACGGCTCTGGTCTGCCTCTCAGAGGCTCACCTTCATGACCATTTAATGGCTGTTATAGTGCTGCCAGGAAGACTGGTATCATTCATTCATAACCCAGTGAAAAGTAGGCCAAAAACTTAATGTGAGTTCTACTTCAAGGTGTGATTTGAGTTTTTGAAAGTTTTTTGAATAGCTTTTTGACTGATATGTTTGTACTTTGCGTCTTTGGTACCAATGGCAGATTTAAAAATGGTTCCCCTGATGATATAAGGTCCTAATCCCTGGATCCTGCAAAATGTTAACTATATGGCAGGGCCTTTGCATATGTGATTATATTATTGTCCTTGACATGGTGGGGGGGGGGAATGATCCTGGATGGTTTGGGTTGGTCCACAATTTAATAACATATATCCTTATGAGGGAGTTAGGGAGGACCCTCACACAGTGGAAGAGGCAAATGAGGCAATACTCACCACATTTACAGTGAAGACATAATAGATGTAGAGAGGCTGGCCTTGGAGAATGGAGTGATGCACACACAGCCAAGGATTGTATCAGGAGCTGAAAGAGGCAAGGACCAGATTCTTGGCTGACATCTTGATTGTGACCTAGCAATGCTGACTTTACAACTTTACCCTCTGGAACTGTGGGAAAATACATTTCTGTGCTTTTAAGTCACTAAATTTGTGGTAGTTTGTTGCAGCTGCAATCTAACACAGCATCAATGACCCTGGTGCTGGCATCTCACAAACCCCAGAGGCTGATTTTGGTTCTTTATTGGGTAGCCCATTTCCCCTATGGATGGACTTTATAGGTGTGGTCCTCTACAGGACAGAAAAAGGAATAAATTACTGTACAAATACCCTTAATAATTTCTCTGTTGTGCATTATCTTTATTTTCATAAGAGCCTTGCATATCAAATGAGTAAGAATCACCTCATTTTATAGGTAACTATCTAGTTGCAGCTTAATTTAAAAGATACACAGCTAGAAAATACTGAAGTTGGAATTTGAATGTACCTTTCCCAGATCTTAGTCTAGCATTTTATTCCTTATGTCACACCATTATTTTTCATTTCCATTCACATACTGTTTCCAAAGTCTCAAGCTAGTCAGACACATAGATATTTTTCTCCTTTGTTCCTGATTTCTAACTGTGGTCCCTCAGTCCCGGCTTCTGTTATATTAAATTAACCTTGCTCAACCTGGAAAAGGACATGTCAGAGTGCTCGGTTGATAACAGTGGGACATTTTGGGCTTCCACAGTATGTAAAGCAACTGTGAACTGTGTGATAGTACAATGTGACTGTGTGTGGGAAGGAGGGAGACAGTGACAGAGAGAGGACTGGAATAAATATACAAGGATCTTTGTGAGTTGCAAGTTAAAAAATACTTTAGGGTTTTTTTTTTTTTAATTACTAAACACAACTGATCTCTTAAAAACCCACTTTTCCAGATATTTAGACTTTCTTGAGTCAGAGAGTGCCTGCAATTCAGAACTAAGTTATCAGTGTTGAAAGCATACTTACTGCAAGGAGAATTCAGACTCTGGAAGCTGGATCCCATCAGGCATGGGCAAAGCATGCATGTCCTATGAAACATGTGGGATTTGAGGTAGTGTTTTGATTGCAGAAATTGCAGTCAGAGGTTTGTTTCGGCCCCCATGCTGTCAGATTGGGGAAATTTAACTTTGAGTCCAGCTACTAGAGACACACATGTCACCATCCTCATACGTGGCTCTCTTTGCTACTTCCAGCACATTATAAAATTACATAAAAGGAACTAAGTATGAGACCACACTTGGATTGTTAGTTACAAGAAAAACCTTCCAAATCTGAGAATTATTAAGAAGTGAGAATCTCTTAATAACAAGTTCCCCACTGCAAAATAAGACTATGTGGCAGAGAAAATTGACAGTGTTCTGATGATCAGATTTAACAGCTGGAAAACTCCTATTCAGACTACTTTTGGAGTAATAAAGCTAATGATTTTTTTCACAAACTGTTGTGATAGCCATAATTCTGTTTTGTTAAGATGTCTGTTCTCTATATTTCACTGAAAACATACATACTTATTTTGGTTCATCAGTATTATACGTATGTGGGGCGGTGGAAGGTCATAATTTAATTTTTTTGTATTTAATTCCTTTTCTCCACATATATTTATAGATTATCTGTCACCCTGTATTTTAAAAATTTCAATCTATCAGAAATGACTAAGCTTTGTTGATATATCTTTGATTGCTCACGCTAGGTGTAACTTCCTCATTCCTGTCCTAGCCTTTGTCTTCTGTAGCTACTTGGTCAAGAACTTCACTTTTAAACATTTAATTAAAAAAAACTTCAGTGGGAAAAGTTGTCCATCTGGTGGTGGTGGTTGCACAGTAATGTGAATGTACTTAATACCAGAACTGTACAGTTAACCATGGTTAAGAGTAAATTCTGCTATATGTATCTTATCATAATTTAAAAAGTAGTTGTATGTGAAGATAGTTAAAAAAAAAAAGGCACAAAAAAAGGTTCTAGCAAAAAAAAATGTCTTCTCACCCATAACCTTCCCTTCCCCAGAAGCCACTGTTGCTAATAATGTCTTGTGTAGTCTTCCAGAAACTTGCTGTTTACATTCAAGTATGGGACTATATTTTGAAAGAATTGCTTAGTGGGAAAATATAACCAGATTGGCCTTATGGTGGCTGGGGGAGGAGAGGAAGGGAGAGGTATAAAGGATGAACAAGGGAGATGGGTGGGTGTAGTGAGGCTGGTGGTGACTGAGTTTTGATTCAGAACATTTGTGTATACTTCTTGCATGGGCATCATGCCATACTATTTCATCAAGGAGTAGGGCATGGGATTGGGAAGTCGTGGGAAGCCCTCCAGAAGGAGAAAGTGAGTTCCACGCAGTTGTCATTTGCTATAGTCCAGAGGGAGATAGCTGTGAGTAATGGTATGAAGTTAAGCAGAGAGGAATTTAAGCTGGGAAAGTCAGGACAAATTTCATAATGGGAAGAGTGTGTAGACATGTCCATGGGGAGGTAAGAGAAGCCTTGCCACTGGAGGGGTGGGAGCATGATTTGACACAAAGCATGAGAAAATGGATGATAGGGAACCATCCCTTGGGGTTGGTGCAGTGACCTTAATCAGGCTCTATCCTGCCTAGCTTTGGATTCACTGATTCAATCTCAAATGATCCAAGAGAGAGAAACAATTGCTTGGAAAATGGCCTTAGGGAATAATGGCTATTGACTACAGATATAGACTGACTCTCCCACGCAAATGAACATCCATCCATCTACCTATCCTTCTACCCACCCATTCATTTATTCATCCATTTATCAATTTTTTTCAACACCTACTATGTAGAGTATTGATGCAGGCTGATAAGAAAAAGACATCTGTGATAGCCATAATTCCACTTTGTGAAGAATTTCTATTTTCTATACTTGACTAAAAAATACATGTATTTATTTTGGGTTAATCATTATAAGTAGTTGAGGGGGATGTATGCTGAGATTTATGGATCAGAACATAAAGAACTGGAGAAGAACATTCTAGATAGATGGAGCAGAATACATAAAGCTATAAGGTGTGAAAAGATCTTGCAGATTTCGAATCCAGAGACATCTATGTGGCTGGTTAAAATGGGTAAAGAGGCTGAAAGAGGTTGTAGATGGAAGTTGAAGGGGAAAGACATGGGCCTGATTGCCTAGAGTCTGGTGGGCTCTGGTTTGGAGTTGAAATTTTATTCTGTGAGTGTTAGGATTTGTGTATGGACTTCGGAGGATCTTTTTTCCCTATTTTGAATTTTCTGCTCTGTACTTTTTGGAAGTCAGTTGTGGTTGTCAGAGGTGGGTGAGGCTGTTTGGAACTTCTATGACATATCACCAGGTGTTGGAAAGGCAAGTTTGGCAGGAGGTAGAACTGGGAAAGGTATTTGGCTCATCTCACAATAGTTCTGCTTTTGTTTGAGGTAGTCAGGAGCCTCAGGAGGAGGTTAATGATATGAAATTAGTAAGGAGAAGGATCACCTAAGGTGAATCAACTTAAATGGAAAGCAAAATGTAATAGTAAATATGGGGAAAAAATTGGGGTTTAAACTTGGGGGCTGAAACTCAAAATTAATTTCATATTTCAAAACATTGTCAGTTGTAATTGTATCTGTGGTCTAGTATTTAGAACCAACAAAATTCAACTATTCAGTTTTTCCTATATATTTTTCCTGATGAAATTACATGCTGGTGCCATATATCTTTGTGTTTGTTTTTATTGTACAATTATAAAGTTATCATTGCAAAATTAGGGTTTCATCTAGTCTAGAAAAGCCTCTTTAATATTTAAGTCAGTCTCATGATTTACTATCCTCTTCATATTCTTTTGTTTCAATGGGTCTAGGGATGCAAAAGCAGTCACTTTTGAGTGTAATTAGAACATTTTTTCTAACATCACTTTGGTTGAGTTATGAAACCCCTCATCTTTGGCTAAAGTTTCTGTTTCATCTTGCAGTTGATCGCATTGGGGGATTATATAGCATTTTGCAATCAGATAGGCTTAAACTGGGCATGTTAGTGTCAGAGAGGGATGCTGCTTCAAAGGCATGTTTGAGTGGGAGCCAGTTTTGTGAATGGTTATTTCATTAATGAATCTCTTCGTTATGATAACTTTTGTTCCTTTGCAAACTGAAAATATGAAATACTCAACTACCAAGTTTTTAGATACTGAGTTTCCACCCTATTAAAATTTAAAGACATGGTATGTCTAGCTTTGTAAGGGCAACATGTTTGGACTTTCCAAATCCTCTCTTTTCTAGTTGGGTTTCACTGTGAGTCTATCATTTGCCTGAGAGGATGACAGATTTTGTAGCTGGAACTCCTTTCCCTCTGTGCACTCCTCTTACAGGGTAGGAGTGAGGGTGGGGGTTTTATCAGAGGTACATGGATCAGGCAGCTTTGTCCTGGAAACCACCTTGGAGTTGGGAACAAGCCTTCTGGAATTCAGCGGGTGTGAGTCAAATAGGAAAATTCTCCATTTTCTTAAAATAAATTTGTTCAGAAAATGGTATGAATGTTTATATTCATTCCATCTCAACCTTGACTTGATTAACATTTTGGTTTGGAAAATTCTTTGTCATGGGGGCACATTTCTGTGTGTTGTGGGATATTTAGCAAGATCCCTGGCCTGTGCCCTCTAGGTACCAGTACACATCCTCCTCTCCTTTGTGACAAAACAATAATACCTCCAGATATTGCTAAATGTCCCCTGGCTGAGAACCACTGAGGTCAGGTTGGTGCAGAGACTGCAACAGAAAGGCTGTAATATCTTAAATGGTTGAAATAGTGACCACTTCCAGTTCTGGTTAATTTGATCCGTTCTTAATAAGAGCACAGTCCTTGGAGCCTGGGGGAAGGAAGTTTTTGACTAGTATGAAAATGAACCCAGTGTGTTTCCTCCTGTTTGTGTCCAGCATAGCACACTTCATGAGAGGGGAAAGCTAGGAGCCCCAGAATTCCCAGTCAGGTGGGTCCTTATAAAATGATCATGAGAAACAGCTGGGGACATGGGGTCTAATGAATATTTTCCAAGCCTTTGAGATGTGGGTGACCTGAGGTCCAGGCCTTTGGCTGGGCCCTGCCTTTCAGTTTACCCTCCCCCTGACAACTTATATTTTCTCAACTTGTAGGCCATTATTGGAAACCTCTTCTGTTGTAAATACCCTCTGGCCTTTATATCTTTCTAAATCTGACTCAGTGTTCAAAATACAGCTAGAATTGTAGCTCTGACATGGATCCTCCAACCACCGTGGCTCACATTGAGTTCTTCCTGCTCTACTCTATATATCAGAATTTTCGTTTGGGTATTTAATCAAAGGTAGTTTTGTGTCATTTCAAAATGTAAAAGTAAGTTTATAACCTCCTTTAAGGCTATTGAGGAAGGACCTGGATACTGGTCGAGCAAGAACAAAGAAAAGGTATTAATTTGGGACTTTAGGTTTGCAGTTCTGTAGACACAAATCCCAGCAGCCCTTGAACCAAGTTTTTGAGTTACCCAGAAATGGGGTGGGGCTTGTATATACAAAGGTCCAAAGATATGGAAATTAAGTGGAGTTAGTCACACAGTGATTGGTTGAGTGAAGATCTCAGGTAGTGTGGGGCACGCTGGTTTTGTTATAGTTTCTTGCTGGAGGTGATGTGTGTGTGGGCATCCTGAGCATGCTGGGGGTGCTTGAACCCCTGGGGTCCACCTTCAGCAATCTTCCAACTCTGTTCTGGTTTTACCCAGGCTCAGATGACTCCATTTTGTTTTCCTTTTCTGTTTTAATATATCTTATCAAGACTTAGATTGTATCAGCTTTGTAAATCTTCCACAATATATAATATAGTTTGATCTCATAGTAGGTGCTTGCTAAGTGAATCAGAGCATTGAAGTGAACCTGCTTGCTTTTCCACTCAGCTTTGTTTGTATCTTGCAGAGGCACTCCACGCTCTGCAGCCATAACTCTTTAAATAGTTTAAGGAGATGGCATATTGTTTGACAGCTGCCTGAACATAAAAAATAATTTAGCTCACACTTAATTTTTATCAGAAAGTAAGTTTAATATTTTCAAGTGTTACAATTTTATTTTTAAGTTCTTACATTCTTTCTGTTTCTCTTAATGTCACTTTGGCTTCAAAGGGTATAATTTTGAAGTTATAAGTACTGTTGGACTTGTTAGTGTTTCTTCTTTTGTGTATATAATGTTTCAAAATCTGTTGATGGTTAAATGTCATTTTTATACTTTTTAGATTCATAACAGTTCAATTACATTCAAAAACAATTAATAATATTATGTATCTTAGAAATAGCTGTCATGTATCTTCTGGTGGATGTGACATATTGTTAGATATTTTAAGTTAAAAGTTCTGTATCCAGGCCAAGTTTAGAAAGATGAGGAGCAGACTGTTTTATAGACAAGCAGAAGGATATAGTACGTTTATGACAAAGCATATTATCATAACATAACCATGCTTGGAAAACTGTGGGGTTTCTCAATGCAAAAAATTAGTGATCGGTAGCCTATCTGAGACACTTTTTTTTTTGCTTTATTTATATCTGATTTTGTTCGGAAAACAGTAAGACAATATGACAAGTAAAAGGAGAACATGTTACCACTAAATACAAACTACCCAAGGCAGTTTTCTCAGATTCTTGAGGAAAGCTTTCTCTACCACAGGCATATTAGCTCTTGGATTTTTTTTTTAGAACTTAACCTGGGATGAAAGCTCTCTATAAAGGGTCATTGTTTTGAAAATGAAGCTTTTTAAGGTGGAAGGAGACAAGGCTCTCAGGAGTGAGGTCAGTGTGGGGAAGGGCCTTACTGCCCAGCCTCAGTCTAGAAATTTTATCTACCTTCATTTGGCTTTGCACTAGTCATTTGGATCTATCAATAGCTGGACATCAGCTTCCCCTTCACAGAAGTGAGATGCTCTGTGGTTTGGAATTCTTCTTTGGAGATTTATAGAACTCTCACAGAGGAGGCTAGCAAGGAGATGAAGTCTGTCCAATCCAAGATTCTCCATTTCTCCATATTTGTTTTTTAGAAAAAGGTTAGATTTAGCATTTGCAATTCTTTTGGTCTGCCCTGTATAAGCCCAGAGATTTTTCTTCTTGTTCTAAATTTTAATATCTACAGTCTGCCAAGAAATGAGTGACAATACTTTACTCTCACTCTAATAGCCTTGCATCCTCAGGTATTAGGGAATTCCCCTGCAGTCACCATGAGTCATAGTTTCTCATGTGGAGCCTTAAAGAACAACCAGTATGATCCTGGTCCAGGCCCTCCCACCATGTATGATTTGTACACATGGAGTGAAAAGTAGCCGTTGTACATGGGGAAACCTCAAATTTCACTGAAGGATGTTGGGGTGGCTCCAAAGGGATCTCTTGGTGGCACCACAAAACAGTCTGCTGTTCCCACCCTGATTCCTGTGACATTCTCAAAGCAGAGTTCCTGATTGCCTTTGAGTGGGCTCACTTTTCAAGAACTCTAGAAGACTTTGGAGGGCTCCAGCATACAGGTAGAGCTGGAAACAGGGTAAGTACAGGCTCTAGGAAGCTGACATAGATTCCAAGGCAGAAAGAGGAGAGGAGGGAGCACATTCCTTCTGTACACCTCAGACCTTGTTGAACTGGGACACTGAGCCAGCTGTGAATACCCACCTGTAACTCAGAGACTTATAATTTGTTTTAATGTTGCTTTCCCCCCTTTGTTATTGATATAGCTAACACTACTATAGGAGAAGGGAAGCAGCTATTTAAAACTTCCTTATCATTCATCTACTCAGGACCATATTCATTCAGTGTTATTTTAATGCTGAATGATGAGAAAAACATTGTGGATCAAAGATGGAATAAGTGTTTCATACATTTTTAAAAATTTTCTTGAGAATCAGAGAATATTGCTTCTGGAAAGAACTCACAGAAATGATTCAGTTCAGCGGTTCTCATAAGTTCTAGAAAACTTTGGGAGACATAGTGGGGCAAGAGAGGCACTGATCCAGTCCAAAACACTCCTGAGTTTTCCTGTTTTATTGTACTTGTATTGGGGAAGGGAAGGGATTCTTAGGCCCACATAAGTTTGTAATGCAACCTTCTTATTTTAAATTGTGGAAACTGAGGTTCACGGACCAGAAAGGACTTAAGATTGAAATTTTTGGGTTGCTTCCCAATTCATCTTTGGCAATGTTCCTGCAATATTTTCAGTGCTATTTTGGGCTTGATATTCTTATCAGTCACCAGAGATGGCTATTTTGGGATTCATATTCTTATCAGTTGCCAGAGATTATTTCCCCTGAGTAAATCAACTAGACACTATTAGCAGGGGAGTAGCATGCTGTACATTAGACTCTGTCTTAGAAGAAAAGTTTGTCTTTATGAAAACAATTCAAACTGCACCTGTTTAAACCTTTCCATAGAAATGCCTGAAAGGTAAACAGTTGGTTTTGGAGCAGCTATCACGTGGCATTGTTTAACATGGCAGCTTATTGATGATTGTCTTTAATTATGGCCGTGCTGTCAACCCTGCTTTTTGCTATAGATCTGATATGACGTTTGAGGTTTTCAAAGCTGCAGAGATGAAAGAATCAACCGTCAGATATTGCTCATTCCAATATGGTTAAGGAGGGAGGAGGGGACATTGCCTCCGAGGGCCAGCGCCTGTGAGAAAACGCCATTGCCGTCTCTGTTTTGATGACAACCTCGAGTGGGGAGCCCCGGTTTATTCTCTGTTTATGATGGAGCGGGGCCAAAGCTGGAGGAAACTGAAATGATTTATTCAGTAATGGTAAACAAGCACAGGGTATGTGTTGTTGGGCTTTGCAAGGCTTGTGGGAAAGCTGGCCCCCTCTTGCTGCTAGCAGTTTGTGCATTAAAGATGTTGACACCACGGCTCATCAAGGCTTTCTGGAACCAGCCCCTTTTATATCCTTTGTCCTCAATCTGTTGGACTTGTGTGTTCCTGAGCCCTGAGATGCTGCTACTATTTAGGACCTTAATCATGGGTTAGTGCCATATCAGACCAAATGTATTTGTTTAGAGGGTTGCTTTCATCTTGCTCCTGTTACCATTAAGATGGGTTGTCACCAATCTTGTCTTACATGGGGTTGTTCCTGTGTATCTATGGCTTCCAGATCAGCTCCTGTCCCTAAAACTTGCTTCTTGTGTTGAAGGGCTGTCTCTTTTCCATTTAATATGTTAGTTCCCTCTGCCAGGTAGCATCCTGGTTGGGGGCTCAGCTTTCTGCTTACCCCATCTAACTTCCCTCTCCCACTTTAAGAGGCAATGTGTTCTTGTGACTGAGAGCACTGCCAGAATCTGACTTCTGGCCTTGCTACTTACTTGTTTTTGATTTGAGGAAAATGCATCTCTCTGGGTTTCATTTTCCTTATTTTAGACAATGATGACAATAGCATCTATGTTATGGAGTTTTGAAGACAAACTGAGTTAATATATAGGCAAAACATATAAAAGAGTGCCTAGTGCAAAGTAGATGTTAAATATGTATTGTCAATTTATATGTTAACATACATAGCATATACTGTGCAACCAATTTGCATATAATTTATTATAATGCTTTGATACAACTACAAGTATAAATTTTGCTGATCCAGCTGAGAGCAAGGTGATAAACAGACCATTAGTTGATTTATTTATAGAGAGATCCATGAAATCCCCAGAGAAGAGATGAATCCTACCTCCTTTTCATCCTTTTTTAAGTGTTTCAACTTCTGCTGTTTTCCCTGTGCTCTGTGGGTTGGGCAGTTAACAGTCCATTAGTTTGTGAACATGCTTATTGGGGAGGCCAACTCCTGTCTTAGTCACTTTCTCTGTAGCAATCACAGGGAGTACAGGGCAGGCAGCTGTGGTCAGTTTGGCATTGTGCTGACTGCTGTGGGGTTTCCAGAAGTGAGGTTTGACACAGTTCCTGCCTTTGGAGAGCTTTCAGTCTAATCGGAGGCTCAAAATGAACTCTAATGACGTGTTTAAAGGCCAAACTCAGATGGTTAGAGATGAATCAGAATGTTCACTGTTTAGTAAGACATTTCCAGGCAGCAGATGCATAGTATCTAAAAAGATGAACTAGACAAAAAGCAGAACATGCTTGAGGGTTTTTGAAACTAATGCTGAAAAGCATGGTTTCATACCAACTTAGCTATCACCTGGCACCCAAAGGGAAGAATTTCCTAGTGGGAATAACTTGGTCTGTCTGTAGGAACAAAGGACATTTACATTTATCCCAAACCACTGGGATCAATGCGCTCAGCTAGACAAGTATTTAGTATCAGTTAATCCCCATAGTCACCCTGTGGAAAAGGTAGTGTCCATCCCTTCCTCCCTTTCTAAAAAAGATGAGAGAACTAGGGTTCTGTGATAAAAAGTGAAGTTTAAAGCAGAGCTGGGAAATTTTAATCCAAATCAGCATGACTTTTAAAGTCTGTGCTCTGTCCAGTTCTGTAAGAAAGGGACACTAGCTACTGTTTTTCTTGGTTCATTTTTTGATGAATTTAGTTTGGAAGCATTCATATTCAACCCCCTTTCTGCCTTTCACTTACCCCAGTAAAAGCAAGAGCTAACTCACACTGGCCACTGCACTCTTCCCTGAGACCAGTAAAGAAAATAGTGATGTTATCAGTAAAAGCCTAATGATACTACCCAGGGAAAATGGGAACCTTCCAATAGCCATATCCAGGCCAAGCAAAGCTCTGGGAGAAATTCCTGGGACATTCAGCAAAAGCAGCCTAAAAGGGCTTTTGAGCAAAAATTGAACCCAAATGAAAACACTACATGGTAGCCCTGGGCCCATAAGCAGTACTTGTATTGCAGAGTGAGGGTATGAGGCTTGGAGTGGTGTTGTCACAAATTAACCCTGAAATCTCAGTGGCTTAACACCATAAGGCTTAGTTTTTTGCTTACCTTCCATGCCTAGTGAGGGCAGGTGTTGGGGCTCTGACATCTGGTTACTGTACCACTTGGATCACTCGACCTCCGAGTTTGCATGGGAGGTATTGTTGGTTGAAGTCCTCAATTCCTGTCTACCCCAAATCTCAGAATTCGACCCATTTAGGTAATAGGGTCTTTCCAGGGACCATTACTTAAGGATCTTGAGAGGAGTCCTAATTAATATTGTGTTTAAAGTGAGCCCTAAATCCAAAAACTGTTATCTTCGCAAGAGAAAGGAGAGGGGTATTTAGATGTAGACCCACAGGTGAAGAAGATCTTGTGAAGACACAGGCAGAATTTGGAGTGATATTGCCACACAAAGCCAAGGAATGTCAAGAGTTACCAGAGGCAAGGAAGAATTCTTCCCTAGTACTTTTGGATTCTGTTCTCCATTAAAGTGAGAGAATGAATTCTGCTGTTTTAAGTCACTGTCTGTGGTCATTGGTAGAGTGGTTTAGGAAAATAATAGAAGGTCTGCATCTGTATATGTATAAGGCCAGGTCTGGGATGGCTTCCATTCCTTTTATGTTGACCAGCACTCAAACTAACTGTCAGGGAGGCTGTCAAATTTTGTCTTCCTATGCACCCAGGAGAGTGAAATAAGATCTGGTGAACACGTAACATGACCTTATCCTTGCTACACTCACTCTGGGAGTATGTACAGTGAGTAAGGGGTGGAGGCTTGGAATAAGGCCTCACCACTTTTAGAGATGATGCCAGGAATGGTCAGGTGGCTCACAGGGTCACCGATGGTCAAAACAAGATATCGGTAGAGTGGGATCAGGCAGCAAAGGCAGGAAACCAGGGAACAGAGCTGTGAACACACAAATGAGTGATCCATGGTTACCACCAGAGTCCACAGAAACAAAACAGTAGAGTCAAGCAGAAAAGCAGGAACCCACACCAGCAAACTTGGCATAAAAGACCAAATACAAGACCACAGATGCTGGAGTCAGGGGCCACATTGCCCAAAGTTGGGCAGCTACTCAGGTATTGCTTGGAAGCAAGTAAAATACCTAGCTCTCCTCCCAGAGGGAGTGTTTGGCATAACCTCTATTATCTCTGTGGCTCCAGTTTCTGGCACAAAGTAGGAACCTTGTGACTATTTGTCCAGCCTTTCATCAAGGTGATGATTTTAAACCATGGACCATATCACAGCAGATGCAAACTGAAATTCCCCATTGTCTGCAAGAGTATGTCTTCCCCCTATATGGTGTCTCAAAATCTCCCTTCCCCTGCCAGAGCACTTGATATCTCTTACACCTCCTTGCCTTTGCACCTGGCATTCTTTCACCCGGAATGACTTCTTCCTTTTACACCTGGTAGAGTGTGTTCACCTCTGAAGACCTAGGGAGTCACACTTTCCTTCTTGGGCATCCTTTGTCCTTAACTTATATGGTGAAGCTATGTTAAAAATACTTCTTTGTTTGCTCCACTTGATTAAATTTTGCATTTTTTATTCCCCTCTTCCTTCCAATGTCTGGCTTACAATAACTTCCAATAAATTTTTGTTACGGAAGAAACATCATTTCTCCCAGGTGCTTCTTCCAGACAGGTAGAGAAGCAGCTACTAATAGTTCCAAGGAATGGAGATAATATGATTATTGATTAATTATTTGGTTATTGTGCTATTCACCATGAGAAATATAGGTGGGAGAAATAAATAAGGAAAAAGATCAAAATGGGTTGGAGTCTTCAGCTTGTGGAGAACAGCAGCAGTAACAGAAAACGTTTTTGTATCAATTTAATATTTATAAAGTGCTTTAACATTATCTTATTTGTTCTCATTGTAACACAGTGAAGGAGTAGGGCCATTAGCACTGCTCTCTTTTAAAGTTGAGGAAATTGAGGTTCAATTTGTAACTCATCCAAAGCGCGCACAGTTACATGTATAGGGAGTGGCTGTGTTGGAGTAAGAGCTGAGTCTTGTAATGGTAAATTTGGTGTTTTCCCCCTTCTTCTTGTAGACTATGCTCACACAGACAAGTGAGCAAAGATGAGAAAAGAGGAGGACAAAAGAGGGGGAAAGAGTATAGCTAAGGGAAAGTGACTTTATTTAACACATGTATTTAATATCCTCAAGTAACTGCAAGCTAGACTTTGCTGATCCCCCATTCTGCATATGGGATTGCAGAGAATTAGGTGAGGAAAAGAATTTGCTCCACATCTTTCAGCTAATAAACAGTAGAGATTGGATTCAAATCCAGCCTTCTCCTTCTCTCCCTCTAAAGCCCTCTCACTTTCTTACACTCTATTGCCTGGGTCGCCTTTTAGACCCTGGCTGATGGGGGAGAAAGTTCTATCTGTCTTGACTATCCCCTGCCTCTTCCACTGTGGGAATTTGATCAGATCTACAATTTGTTTGATACCTTCTTCCTGATGAAGCACATGAGACCCACATGATGCACCTTGGCAAGATTTGAAAGGAATCACTGATGACCTGCTGAGGAATTTCCATTTTGTTCCTAGAAATGATTAATCCTGAGGCTTTGTGATGGCTCTTTTCACAAATAGCTTTTTTAAATCCATAATTTCCCATTTCCTTTTTGAGTGATATTTTATATTTAAGTAATAAAAACAAGCAAAAGCATCCTACTGTGAGGATATGTTTACATTATGAATATAGGATCCTGACCAAGGTAGAAATTCCCCTGAAATGGATTAGGAAAATTGCCATTTAAAAAAAAATGTTCTATTCTGTCCCTTGCAGCTACTCTTGTTTCTATCAGTTCCTGCTGCTAATCTCTAATTCTTGTATCTTTTTCTCTTCTTTTTCTTTAGCGTATAGGTTAACATATTTCATCTCTTAAAGTCCTGTGAGGCCAGGAAGTTTAGCTTGAGGCCTCTGGGACCTTGTGATTCAGGATGGAGAGTGAGAACTTGTTTCCCCCTAGGCTGGGGAACAGTGTGCCTCTGAGCTCCTTTTCAGTCTTAGTCTTCACTGCCTGTGCATTTGCAAGTAGGGTCAAGGTAACACAAGGGCACTTTTAAGAAAGGAACTGGGGAGAAACTGCAAACAGATGTTCTCTGATAACTATGAGGAAAGACGGCCTGGCTGAGAGACCTGGAGCTCTCACTTGTTGAGAACCTTTAGCCAGCACCTGTGTGTGTGTGCATTTTAGTTTTTTTCTTTCGCTCCCCTCGCCCCCAAAGCCATGGTGTACCTGCTGTTGCTCTCAAGCCTCTTGCCAACAGTGGCATCTGCTCAGTGTAGCCATCAAGAATTTGAATGTCAATATCTTTGCCTTGAAATGAATGGAAAAGTATTTGTCACTCAGCGGCAATCATTCTTCAAATAAAAGGTTAGCCAGACAGGGCCCTTAATCAAAGAGTCGGTCTTTTCTGTCAGCAGTGCCTTTTAAATAGCAATGATGAAGGCTGGCTGTCAGGGTAGGACTTGATGAGCGAGATGATTGATCTGCATAAATCATTTTCTTTTAACATTGTCAGTGAAGAGTAAATTGGTGGGACATTTTGGGTATTAGCTATGTTGAAATTAATATGCGGTATCCTAGGTGTATCCTCATTCTCATAGTCCTCATAAAAAAGGTAGAAATTAAAAGGAGGCTTTTAGGCGTGCATTGTTCTAGCAAGAAAGTTGCACCATTCTTACTGCTGTGGTCATCATCTTGTGTGCTAAATTCGGAAGTTGAGTGTGTAGCACATTTTACAAGCTCCGAATGGAATCTAGTTAATTTGGGAATTAGCTAGAGTCAGTAGCATTTAACAACCAGTAAGTCTGTACAGACTCACTGCTCAGAGGGAGGAAAAAAATCTAAGAATGGTTTCTGGTTTTAAAAGATATTGTATTTACTACCCAGCATGCTGTCATAGAAGTAGCCTCAGCCTCACATCAGGTTCTTTTAATTCCACTTGCCATGACTCCGAGGTGAGTCTCCTTGGTCGTGATGCTTACCTTTTCCGAATCTAACTGTGTCCTTAAAAATAAGGTTCCATTACTTATTTTGGGGGTTTGCTTTTGGTATTAAAGACAGCTAGGTAGGTGAAAGTACCGAGCATATTACTTGGCACATAGTGAGGATGTACTCAGTGGATATTAATCTCTTCTCAAGCAAAATGCTCAAAACTTAGAACATTGGATAAGATGTCATTATCAAGGTCACAAGCACATGGCTAAAGTAAATTGCATTTTTGGTCACTCTTCTGCTTGCTGGGACTTGGTACAGCCATTTTTTATATCAAAATATGTTTCAGGTTGGGGGAAGAAGAAACACCTAATTGCAGGATACTTAGAATAGAGAATGAGGTGGGAGAAATGGGAGGGAAATGTGGCCAGGTATACCTAGGATACTTTTTCCTTAACAATGCTCTCTGTCTCACCTCATTACATGCCTGAGTTCATATTACTCAGTTTTGGAGTAAATAAGTAAAATTTATGCCATACAGTATTGGGATTAAAAATATGGCTGATGGAGCCAAATTGTTTGTTCGATCCCAGCGTCTTTCAATTGCCGCAAATGAAATAGTAAAATTGCCTCTTTAAGTCTCATTCTCCTCCCCTCTAAAATGGGCACAGTAACAGTGCCTATCTATGTGTTGTTACCATGATTGATTAGTATATGAAAAATAAAGCTTATAAAAGAGTACCTGTATATACCTGTTAACTGTGATGACTGAATGAATGACTCATTCAGAGTTGGTTGGTTCGTTGAGAGAAGTAGATATTACTGAAAATGAAAGTGGGTCAAATGATTAAAGGAAGAATCATTTAGATACAAGAATCTGTGATAATGGTATACTGGAGTACCATACTTGGCTCATCTTGGAGAAACTTCCCTTTCGGAGGAGTTTAGAACCAGAGTGATTCAAGAGACATTGATATAATTAAGTGCTTTTGGAGTGAATGGTAGGTGACCCTTCTCTGACCCACCATCTTTTCATTGTAGGAGCAAAATATGAGACAGTTTTATGCACAAAACTCAACACAGAAGAGGATTTTTTGGTTTAATTAAAAAATTCATTGATTAAATATATAACTTGCTGAGAAATATGGTAGTCTTGCTGTATTGAACACAAAGGTTAAAGGAGCACTGCTTTTCTTGGTTACACATGTGCTTCCTGTGAGGGTAAAATCCACCTAACATGTTGCTAGCAAGCATGTGGCATGAACATGTAGGGTCTGCACGAGAATACATTAGCAGGTATTGCTCGAAGAGTCCTTCTGTTCTTGGACTTTTGCGTATCTCTGGTCTTGGAGAGAAACACTTTTTCTTTCAGGTTGTATTTGTACTTTGTATCCTTCTCTTTTCCAGTCTTCTTGAATTT